ACTGAATCTACATTTTATAATGTTGATACAATATTGCAATATTGCAGATTGATTCAACGTTTGTGTGCTGTATGGGTAAGTATCCTATACAGCACAAAAAGTTGAAATAACGTTGTTGATACGTTGCAATGTTGAATATTGAATTGAATCTATGTTGCATCTTCTACATTGATTCCTTCCCAGCAAACACGGTATATAAATGTTATGTACATGTAAGTAATCAAGCATATGTTACATGTAACGTATATGTTAGTTGTAATTTCCCACTCATAAATGTAACATTTTTAATATAACATATATTACATTGTAGTTATATTGTCATTATATCCCAAATAGCACTGACATTGATACATCAATGTGCTATTTGGTATATAATTACAATATAACTACAATGTAATATATGTTATATTAAAAATGTTACATTTATGAATGAGAAATTACAACTAACATATACGTTACATGTAACATGCTTGATTATTTACATGTATATAACATTTATATACCATGTTTGCTGGGTTTATATTGCTACGTTGAATTTATGTTGCATATGGATATTATGTTATAGCCACAGACTTCTATATAATATATAGGTTCTAAGCAGAATGGCTGACTTATAACATTAATAGTAATGTACAATAGTGTCTGTTGTCTCAAATCTTATGTCAACCATTCTGTTTAGTTTCTTACTCATCTTAGCTATTACATATATCGCGAATTGAAATAACCAATCAGCAATTGATAGCCCGGTGTCTTAACTCTTACTAGAGGAATTCTACTTAGGTTCATCAAAAGGCTAAATATATAAAAGGTTCGCGGTCTAGTATATTATATAGAAGTCTGTGGTTATACAATATAGCAGATATTTAAGTATACATTTAAAATTTATTAACCTTTATTTTACAGATCCGATATATTAACACCTTATTAAATAGCAAAGGAGATAATATAGTTATAAAGTAAATAATTAATTTTAAATTAAATTAAATTATATTACATATATTAATTAAATTATATGAAATTATATTATATTACATATTTTATTTATTAAATTAAATTATATTATATTATATATTTACCTTTTTATTTTACAGGTTCGCACTCTGTCAATAAAAACTAATCACACACACACACACACACACAATTCCCTCCCCCCTCTCACTCTCAATAAAAAATTGGCTGCTCTGGCGCTGTATATAAAAGCTGCCATAAGCGCTGAATCAATAAGATCGGCTGCAACAGCGCTGAATTCTGGCTTGCCCTAGAGGCGCCCAATTAGAAAAAATTAATTTTGAGTTTACGCACAAACAAAAATTGTATACAAAATGTCTGTAAAGGCAAAAAAAAATAGAATTTTATCACTTAGAGACAAAAATATAATTCTCCAAGGTGAATGGTTAACAGATATACATATAGAACATTTTGATAATCTTTTACAAATTTATTCAGATTATAAACCTGTCGAAACATGGCGAATCCAATGCCTTGATACGATTCAACCTGTACCAGAAAATAAAAAACATATACAGATATTACATAGTTCATCAAATTTATCAGATGGACATTGGGTATGTAGTTATTACGACACAAAAAACATATTTATTTATGATTCGTTAAATAATAAAAAATTGCACATACATCATGAACAATTCTTGAAAAAATTATTTCCAAGATATAACTTTGAAAAAAATTGTGTCAAATTTCCTACTGTACAATACCAACCAAACGGTAGCGATTGCGGGGTTTTTGCAATAACCTTTACAATTTCATTGTTATTCAATATTAAACCCGAAAAAATAAAATATGATCACAGTTTAATGCGTTTGCATTTAATTAAGGTTTTTGAATCTAATGTTATTGAGCTTTTTCCACAAAATCCACAATATGCTCCTCAAAAGGTGCTTCCATTAGCAGTAATAAAAGCAAGAGAGATTGAAGCATCTCGTAAACGTACTATACGTCAATGTGAGACTGAACAACAATATTTGAATCGGTTAGAAGAGCAACGTCATATTTACCAACCTGAAAAAGAGTTAAGTAATAATCAATTACAATTAACGGAAAATAATTCAAAGAATTTAATGAAAACAAATAATGATATTTATGAAGAAACTAAGCAGCATGACTTGGAAAATCATTGTGTAAATAAACGTGCACGCTATTCACAAGATTTAGAAAAAAATCAGGCTACACAACATGATTTATATGAGCAAGATTCCGAGAATAATTGCATTGAACAGCACGATCTGTATAAACAGAGCTTAGAAGATAGACGCGCTAAACGATGCGATCGTTATAAACAAAATATAGAAGACAATCGCGCTAAACAGCGCAATCGATATAGACGAAATTTAAAAGATAATCGCGCTAAGCAGTATGATCGTTATAAACAAAATTTAGAATACAATCGCGCTAAACAGTGTGATCGTTATAAACAAAATTTAGAATACAATCGCGCTAAACAGTGTGATCGTTATAAACAAAATTTAGAATACAATCGCGCTAAACAGTGTGATCGTTATAAACAAAATTTAGAATACAATCGCGCTAAACAGTGTGATCGTTATAAACAAAATTTAGAATACAATCGCGCTAAACAGTGTGATCGTTATAAACAAAATTTAGAATACAATCGCGCTAAACAGTGTGATCGTTATAAACAAAATTTAGAATACAATCGCGCTAAACAGTGTGATCGTTATAAACAAAATTTAGAATACAATCGCGCTAAACAGTGTGATCGTTATAAACAAAATTTAGAATACAATCGCGCTAAACAGTGTGATCGTTATAAACAAAATTTAGAATACAATCGCGCTAAACAGTGTGATCGTTATAAACAAAATTTAGAATACAATCGCGCTAAACAGTGTGATCGTTATAAACAAAATTTAGAATACAATCGCGCTAAACAATGTGATCGTTATAAACAAAATTTAGAATACAATCGCGCTAAACAGTGTGATCGTTATAAACAAAATTTAGAAGACAATCGCGCTAAACAGTGTGATCGTTATAAACAAAATTTAGAAGACAATCGCGCTAAACAGTGTGATCGTTATAAAAAAAATTTAGAAGACAATCGCGCTAAAAAGCGTAATCGATATCAACGGAACTTAGAAGATGAACGCATTAAAGATCGATATCAATATGAACAAGATTTAGAAAATAAACGCGCACAAAAGCGTATGCGTTATTCGAAAAACTTTGAGTATGAACGAGATAGACAAAAAAGATTGGATCCTAATCGCAAATGGCTTTATAATAAGCGATATTATCAGACAAAAAGACAAAAAATCAAAACAAAATCTACATTTGAAATAAAAACTTGCAATATTGCTAAAAAAATTACTAAAAAGTATAAACAATTCTGGTCGAAGAATACCATAAAACTTCGTAATTGTTCAGAAATATTTATAAAAAATATTATTGACAAAATCAATATTAAAGGTCATATTGAGAAACGATTGGAAGCCGAAAAAATTGTACGTTGGTGCATGTGTATTAGGAAAAATTATATTCGCAATATATACAAAATGTTAAGTTTGATTAAAAAGAAATCAGAAGTGTATTTGACTCTTGTCGCAGATTGTTCTACAATCGAAGACAAATTAACTGCGCTATGTGGCGAATCTAGACATACAGCCTCATCTGAAAATTATTTTATTGAGTCTACATATCATCATGATGTAAATCCATTGGAACCTTTGGTAATGAATGTAAAAGGAAAAGTAGTAAACATATTACCATTGACAACAGAACAAGCTAAAAAATCTTGGTCGTGTAATATTTCAGACTGTAAAACTAACAATCCGCTTTTAATTGACCGTTCTCAGAAGTCTCTTAAAACCATAAATACATGTACCTTAAACAATGAACCAAAACTGATGTGTAATACTGCAAGCTGTAAAATTAACGATCCACTTTTAATTGATCGTTATCAGAAGTTTCTCGAAACCGTAAATACATGTATTTTAAAAAATGTACCAAAACTTATGCAAAATATTCATAAATGTACAATGAAAATTTCAAATGAGAAATTGGGTCATACGCGTAGCTGTTATATTGATATAACACTTTGCGAAGGAATGTTTCTTCCAGTTCAATTATTATCGCCTCATTTTCCAAAAGTAAGATATATGAAGCGTTTAATTTATCAACTTACATATTTTTATCGAAAGTTGGAAAATCTAGATAATGCTTTAAATAATGCTGATATGAATACTTTGAATGAAATTGTGACTTCTGCACAGGAGAAAGTAGATATGTACAGACATCAACGGATTGATACAATTTTGAGTGATGATGATATTATGTTTAAATATCGTTTAGCATTTAAAGCATTGACTAAACGCTCTGTGGACACACCACGACATGTTTGCGTATCATGCGAGAGATTGTGTTATAAAAAAAGTGTTTCTAAAGTCAATAGTCTTCAGACACAAGTACATGTTAAAATTTGGAAAGATTTAATGACGTATGTACAACAACAAAAAGTTGATGCGCAATATATATGTAATTATTGTGCAGACAAATTTCGTAAAGGCTTAATGCCTGCATACTGCGTCTTAAATAATCTCTTTACAAATCAGGTGCCTGAAGTAATATCATCTCTTAATACATTCGAAAAAATTCTTATACAGAGAGCTAAAGCGTTTCAAACTGTCCTTAAAATGGGAACTGTTATTAATAAAAAGTTGCCTCAAAGACAAATGGTATCAAAAGTTAAAGGTAGAACATTTCATTTACCACTTCCGTTACAGGAGACATTGAATAAATTATGTTCTAATACTGATCCAATAAATATTAATCATGAGTTATATATATTAGTTAGAGGTATCCCGACAAAATCAAAGATTATTTGGGAAGAGGTAGTTGATGTTAAAAAAGTATTTGACGCTTTAACGTGGTTAAAGCGCAACAATACTTTATATTCTCATATTATATTGCCAAATGATTACAATGATTTACGTTTACCAAAATTAAAAAATTCAGAATTTCAAATGGAAGATGAGACAGAAGATAATGCAGAAGTAGCTGATGATGAGACTGAATTATTAAATGAGACAGAAGATAATGTAGAAGTAGCTGATGATGAGACTGAATTATTAAATGAGACAGAAGGTAATGCAGAAGTAGCTGATGATGAGACTGAATTATTAAATGATCCGATAGAAGAGATAAAAAATGATACGTTAGAAGGTCAACGGAAAGCAATGTTGATTCAAGTGACTAATGCTGAAAACGATGGCTATTACGAACAATATACCATCTATCCCTTATATGAAAAGAAAGCAAATAAAACTGCGACAGCTTTATATCAAATGTTAAAAATTCAGGACTTGCCTCTGAACAATCGTGAGCAACATTTAGATTTAATGTGTTTTCCAGATTTATATTCTTCTGGTATTAATGGACAACGTGAGATTAGACAAGTTAAACTTCATGATCATGAATTTATTAAATGTCGTTTGACATCTAAACATCCACAGTATAGATTAAATCTACAATATGTATTTTATTTATTGAACGATGCAAATATGCGTCAATTAAGTCGTGGAATTTTTCATAAAATGAATGTAACTAATCCGCGACTTCGTTATACAGCTGCAGAATACCCAGACGCAATGTCGAAAGAATTGTTGGAATCTAATTTGAGTACAATATTTGCCACACTTCGAAATACGGAGCAATATTGGTGTAAACCGAGAAACGATTTAAATTGTATGACGCAGCATTATGGACCTGCGACATGGTTTTTAACACTCAGTCCAAGTGAGTGGTTGTGGGAAGATTTAAGTGAATATATTCGTGAAGTAAATGAATGGCATGACGCTTCCTTAAGCGTTAGCGCACTCGTTGTTAGAGATCCAGTATCAACATCCAGATTTCTCGATAATAAGTTTCGGGCAATGCTTGACTTCATTAGGTCTAAAGATCATCCAATTGGAGAAGTAACGCACTATTTCTGGCGACGAGAATATCAAGGTAGAGGTATACAACATTTTCACTTATTAATTTGGATTAAAAATGCACCAATTTTCGGTGAATCTACTATTGAGGAAGTTTCAAAATTTATTTCACAACATATAAGCTGCACAATACCGGATAAAAATATTTCGCCATTGTTGTACAGACGTGTTGATACGCATCAGCGACATACACATAATGATTATTGTCTTCGTTCTAAAAAAGTAGGACGTAAAGTTATTCGTCGATGTCGTTTTGGATTTCCTCGTCCCGTTACTGAAACTTTGAATATCAGGGATGTGGCAACTTCGATAGCCGGTAGAAAACAATTGAAACATAAAAGTAGACTTTACGATCTTCCTCGAACAGATAATGAAGGTAATATAAATGACTATAATCCTGTTCTTCTTACTGCATGGGAAGGTAATATGGATATACAATTTATTGGTGAAAAATCATCGCTGCTAACCTGGTATGTTACTAAATATATGAATAAAGCGGGAAAAAGTGAATTATCTGAGAATATTCTTGATAGTAAGGATAACAAAAACAAATCATTAGCGAGTCATCTTTGGAATATTGCTTTGCGATTTACGAATAATAGAGAATGTGGAGCTCTCGAAGCTGCTGATACATTGTTAGGTATTCCTTTGTATGGAACTGATCGAGATACAACCATCAGATGGTTAGATGTTAATCAAATACGATATAGAAAATTAAAAAGTCGTAAAGAAATTGAAGCTCTTGATCCTGAATCTACAGATATATTTTATCAATCTTTGACAGATGATCATTATCCACATAGACCAAACGAATTAGAAAATACGTCTCTTTATGAATTTGCACAGTGGTACGATATCTCAAAGATCAAACCGAAAAATAAGTTTATTGAATATTATAAAATAGATAATGGTTGTTATCTTAAACGGCGACAGCGCGGATATCTTATTAATCATTTTAGATATAATGTTAATACACAGCCGGAAAATTATTTCTTTGCGTTATTGCTTATGTTTAAACCATGGCGAAAATTAGAGGATCTTAAAAATGAATGCGATACTTATACCGAATCGTTTCACAAAGTAAAACTGCATCTTGTAGAAGCATTGCAATATCATGAAAGATTAGAAGAATTGCAAAAAGCATTTGAAACTGCAAAACAGTTAGTTCAGCAATGCTTAGATGACGATTTGCAAAAAGAGCAGTCTCAGGATGATCCTGAAAATGCAATAGGTATTCAAAATATAGAGGCTGGTGAAGCAATGCAAGATTTTAAAGATCTTGGTGATAGAGCAATTCAAGAAATTGATGTATCTGACATGATAGTAAAATTAAATACGGATCAAAAACGAGTATTTGATAAAGTTACCAATGTTGTAGAGTCCGATAAATCAATATTACGATTATATGTTAGCGGAGAAGGTGGTACTGGAAAAAGTTTCTTAATCAAGACTATTAAATGCTGGATAAAACAAAATCTCAACAAAGATACTGCTGTAACAGCACCTACTGGTATAGCAGCATTTAATATAGATGGTTTGACAGTTCATAGATTGCTTCAATTACCCGTTGAACATGGTCAAACTCCTAAGTATAAACAATTATCTGATTGTGTATTAAAAGTTTTACGAACAGATCTTAAAGATGTTATTCTTTTCGTAATTGATGAAGTGTCAATGATATCTAATTTGACTTTAATATATATTCATCTTCGATTGTCTGAGATATTTGATACTAGTGATTGCGATGATGGTTGGTTTGGTCGAAAGCATATTCTTTTATTCGGAGACTTGCTTCAATTGCCTCCTGTACGCGAAGATCTTATCTTTACACATTTATCCGATCAAAAAATTGCTAATTATCTTGGTTCTTTAAATGCTGTTAATTTATGGATTACATTATTTGAATATGATGAATTGATAATCAATATGCGTCAGCAAGGAGATAATTCATACCGTGAATTATTGTCGCGAATTCGTATTGGTTTAGTGACAAAATCTGATTGTAAAATTCTAGAGAGTAGAAAAATATCTTTCAAAGCTGATTCTTTCGAATCTAGATTAAATGAATTATGTGATTTTATTAACAGTTTATCATCGGACACTGTTTGTTTATTTCCTACTTGTAATATGTGTGATGTCCTTAATAATGCAATGTTAAGTCGCATTACTTCCAAAGAAATATTATTAATTGCTGAAGATACGATTGATTGTACATCATATGTAAAAAAGAAAGTATTAAAAGTATTGTCAAATAACGATGATGATAGTTCTCGAACAGCTGGACTTTCAAAACAAATTACAATTAAAATTGGAGCAAAAGTTATGATTCGGCGTAACATCGATGCCAGTTTGGGTCTTGTAAACGGTACAATTGCTAAAGTAATTTCAATTGTACGAGAAACATCTACTGATGACGTAGAAAAGATTAAACTTCTTTTACCATCAGGTTTAGAATATGAAATTGAAAGAGTAACGGCTAAATTTCAGGTATTGGATAGAGCGTATGTGATTCGAAAACAATTTCCATTATCTTTAAGTTATGGCATCACTATTCATAAAAGCCAAGGATTAAGTTTGCAAAGTGTTGTTATGGATATTGGCAACTCTGTATTTAGTTGTGGTCAAATTTATGTTGCCTTGTCGCGAGTAACATCTCTAGAAGGAGTGCATTTAATTAACTTTGATCCTTCAGCAGTAATAGCTAACGAAAAAGCTATTATTGAATATAATCGTTTAAAACAGATATACAATCCGAAAGCAGAAATGATTGCTGTGTCAAAAGAACGTTGTCGTAAAGTAAAAGATGTTCCATGGGCGTTACCAAAAATAGTTACTTCTGTTCAAAAATCAAATTCAGATCGAAAAATTCAACATACGGTTTCAAAGAAAAGAATTCAAAGCACTGCTTGGATCATACGTGGTTTTCAGAATACAGACAAGATTTCATGTTATGCAAATACAGTATTGCAATGTTTATTACATTTAAATATTATTAGGCAGCAGTTGATTAATTGCGACAAAACAGACGTTTTACGTATATTAATGCATCGATATGAAAATGGAATGCGAAATCTAAATACATATGCAATACGGCAATGTTTAGGAGAATATTTTTCGAGTATGATAAGACAAAACGCGTACGATTTTCTTACGGCACTTTGCGAAAAATATGATTGCATTACAAATTTGATACAACATCAAGTAACTTCTACCAAGCGATGCAAAACATGTGGTAATACAAAAACTATTGTTGAAAATAATGTTGCTATTTCAATTTCCCTTGATAATTTAAAAAAAAAAGTTGTAATCTTAATGAATTATTAAATTCTACATTTTCACATTGGTTTCACTTACACAACGAATCATGTGAATATTGTACTGGAACTGATCAAATATTTAAAAATGAAGTAACATTAACAAGAGAAATAATTGTTATTTGTTTAATACTATTTTTAGCACAAGATGGTAAATTAATAAAAGCAGAAAACAAATTTAATTTATGTGCTGTTCCAACAACTAAAGTATTAATAGCGGGACAATTGTACAAGACGATGAGTGCTATACTTTATGATAGCTCGTGCACCGATGAAGGTCATTATGTAAGCATATGTAGAGAAGGCCTATCTAATATTTGGATCGAAATAGATGATGCAGAAGTAAAAAAGAGGCAGTGGCCTAAAGGTGCTAAAGATGTTTATATAATATTTTTACAAAAAATAGGTAATAAATAATACTAATTCGATATAAAATAAAGTAGTTATAAAATTCTTCCTAAATAGATTTTTATAATATCAAGTTTATGACTATTACTATTTAATCATTTAATATTGTATTTCGATCAGTCCTATATAAAAAAAGGTTTCGTAATATATTAGCAATTTCATGACAACGCTTTACATTCTGCATTATTCTTGAAGTGCAAAAAAATATTTTTTACTTAAAATACAAGATAGTTATTTTTATCTATAATAAGCAAAGAGGACCGTCGTATTTTGAAATATGGCGGGGGTGGTGGCGGGTTCTTTGCTTATTTATTTAAAGATGCTTATCATATACAAAAATGAATGATATAATCTCTAAAAACTAACCTTTAAAAAAAAGGTAAAAAAAGGCGACCAGTTAAGGGCACGCCATTAACAAAAATTATCCATTGCAAATCCATGTAGAATCCTACCTATGAAAAATTAATCATTGCAAACCCATGTAGAATCCTAGGCAAAATTAACCGTTGCAAACCCATGTAGAATCGTACCCATTGCAAACCTATGTGGAATCCTATGAAAAATTAACCATTGCAAACCCATGTAGAATCCTATGAAAAATTAACCATTGCAAACCCAGAGTAAAATTGTATTAAAAATTATCCATTGCAAACTTATGTAGAATCCTACATTGCAAATCCATGTACAAAAGAATTGTATGAAAAATTATCGATTATAAACCCATGTACAATCGTAACAAAAGTAATGAAATAAAAAAAAAATTGCGCCAAGTGAAAATAGAAACTTGTACCAGTGGAAAATTAAAGTTGCAGACATATATAGAGTCGTATAATGAATCAGTAAAAATTTAAATTTGCAAATGTAGAATCGTACCATAAAAAAACTTATCTTTTAAAAAAAAAGATAAACAAGATGCCAAGTCCATGCGCCATGTGAAAAAGAAATAAAAAAATTTTAGTTAAAAAAACTGGGCGCGCTGCTAAGTTTTAAAATTATAATGCACCTTAAAGTAACATTAATTAATTTAAACACAAAACATATTTTAACTGTAATGAGTTTAAAAGTAACAATTTAATTTTAATATTGTTAGAATATTATTTAGCAGCGCTCCCAGTTTTTTTAACTAAAATTTTTTTATTTCTTTTTCACATGGCGCATGGACTTGGCATCTTGTTTATCTTTTTTTTTAAAAGATAAGTTTTTTTATGGTACGATTCTACATTTGCAAATTTAAATTTTTACTGATTCATTATACGACTCTATATATGTCTGCAACTTTAATTTTCCACTGGTACAAGTTTCTATTTTCACTTGGCGCAATTTTTTTTTTATTTCATTACTTTTGTTACGATTGTACATGGGTTTATAATCGATAATTTTTCATACAATTCTTTTGTACATGGATTTGCAATGTAGGATTCTACATAAGTTTGCAATGGATAATTTTTAATACAATTTTACTCTGGGTTTGCAATGGTTAATTTTTCATAGGATTCTACATGGGTTTGCAATGGTTAATTTTTCATAGGATTCCACATAGGTTTGCAATGGGTACGATTCTACATGGGTTTGCAACGGTTAATTTTGCCTAGGATTCTACATGGGTTTGCAATGATTAATTTTTCATAGGTAGGATTCTACATGTTTAATATTCTTGGGAGTTGTTAAAAAACTGATTTCTTTATGGTGTTACGGAAAACCTAAAACAAAGTTATCCTTTTGTCAAATATCTGAAATATCAAAGTTATTAGAACATCAAAAAAAATATATACCTTCCGAATTTAATAGAAAATCAAGATCTTTGTTTGAAAGTAAAAGATGGAAGGCAACCGAATTTAGAACTTTTTTATTATATACGGGATCTGTTGTTTTAAAATCTATTCTAAATCATGATCAATATTTAAGTTTTTTAACTTTACATGTAGCTATCACTATTTTGTCTAATTCAAAACATATGGAACAATATTTAGATTATTCCAACTCCTTATTGCAATATTTTGTAGAAACATTTATTAATTTATATGGTAAAGAAAATGCATCGCACAACCTGCATCATTTATTACATATTTGTGATGACGCGAAAAAATTTGGAATTCTTCAAGAATTCAGTGCTTTTCCGTTTGAAAATTACTTACAATCTATATTAAAAATGATTCGTAAAAATAATAAAGAATTAGAGCAAATTGTTTGTCGTATAACTGAAAGAAACTATTGTATAAATTCTAATGTCAGAGTGAAATGTAACGAGCCTCAATTTTTAAAACCACATTTTAATGGTCCACTTATTATTAATTTTCATAATTGTAATCAATTTGGCAAAGCGGTGTTTAAACAATTTATTTTAAAATAAATGAACCCGATAATTGCTGTAGCTTAAAAGACGAAAACATTATTGTTATTAGAAATTTTGTTGTAAATAATGAGGGCTTTTTCGTAATCGGAAATAAATATAAAACGCTTACAGATTTTTACACCGTACCATGTAAGTCGTCAAAATTAGGGATATATGTAATCAATGATATTGGAAATTTAGAATCCTGGGATTTAGGGCAAATTGCAAATAAATGTATGAAATTAAAATATAAAAATAAGTATGTAGTTTTTCCCTTATTACATTCAGAATATTTTTAAAAATTTTTCTTTTCTTGTGCTCTTCGCTAAAAAAATGTTAATTTTTTATATAATTTATAATAATATATAGATAAATATAATATATATATAATATACAATATAATATATAGAGGAAATAGGTTTGCAATTTTTGTGATAAGTTACTGAGTGTTTGCGCCTTTTCATATATAAATTGTAAATAGAATTTTTTGTTGGAATAAAATGCTCCTTAAATTTTTGTTGAAATGTTTGAAGAAATGGAGAGATCATGGACTATAGTAAGGTTTATAGATGAAGATACAGTTGAAGCTGTCCCATCTACCTGGATTATCAATAAAAAATGTTATTGGCCACCGTTTCACATGGAAAAAATTGTAGCGGCTATCAAAAAACATGCCGAACCAAATACATGTTGGCCTTCATATAATGTTATGACTTTCAGAAACAGCAGTTATGGTTAATATAAAATATTTAAATATTATACATTCCACATATACTTTTGTGATCAATAATATATGTACATAATCGTTATTTTTGTTATAATAATATAAATATATTTACTTGTATTTTCAGATAACTATAAAACAGCCAGGGAAAAAGCCAAAAAGGCTGAATTAACATCTGAATTAAACTCCGAGACTGATAATGATAACATTTCGAAAAGAAAAATTATCCCAAAGAAATTTTTTTCGTCATCAGATGAATCTACCGAAGAGTGCACTAAATTACGGACGCCTCCAATTATGAACACACAAAGTTCGTTTTAATATTAAATATTAATATATAATATACATAATATATATAATATAATATAAAAAATATATAATATATTATTATATTATATTTTAATGTATTATAAAATATATTTATGATATATTATTTATTTAAAACTTACTTCCTCCGATTTTACGAAATTTGTTTTACATAATTTAGTAATTGCATTAATAATATAAATTTTAATCGACTAATCTTAATATTCGAAAAACTTAATAAAACTTTGCTCGAAAATAAATAGAAAAATCAATATTTTAACATTTCACAATTGACATATCAGATCTTTCATGTCGTGTAGGGAAATATAATATCCTAATGACAGCAGCTAGTCATTCAATATCTTGAATTAATATCTTGAATAAATCTATAATACAGAAGAACTTAACAGAAGTATTTACATAGAAAAACTGCAGTTGCAAAATTATGTAAAACAAATTTTGTAAAATCCGAGAAAATAGATTTTAAATAATTAACATATTATAAATATATTATAATACATTAAAATATAATATAATAATATATAATAATATATATATATTATACATATAATTTTTTTAAATTGGCGAAGTCAATATTGTTAAATACAATTTTAATGAATCTTCAAGATTTAAAGAAATTGTATTTAACAATATAGTTAAAATGGGTCAATAAAAAAACTAATATAGGACAATACTTGATATGCTTTTCCAAAAAATAGAAATAATGAAATTTAATTCTAAAACAGTTAGAAGAGCCAATATTTTTATTATTTCAGAATTAGCATTAAATTTCCTATGTTATTAGTTCATTCATGCAGTATTCTATATATTTTATTATATATAAAACTAAAATACTAATAAAATTATTAAATTAATATAATAATAAAGCTACTAAATTAAAATTATTATAAAATAAGTATATACTGATATTATTAAATATGTTTAGTTTGTGTATTACAAAGATTATATATGTAACTACTATTATTATTTTTTTTATACATAGAATCATTGAAAAGTACAAATTACGAAAATGCGAAGAGCAACAAATGTCAATCAAGATCAGTGGATCAATCATCCAATGAAGTTCCGAATAAACGGACGAAGCACTTACAAGATGGATTTTTGAATATTTCAAATATTTTGCAGGACAATGAGCACAACATACAAAATAATAAGACAGAAGATGTTGTCGACATAAAATTGGTACATAATTTATATTGTTTAAAACTAACTTTATAATTTTCATAGGTTTTGTCTGTGCTATCAGTAAATAACTGTAAAAAAATAATTATTAATTATTATTATACTGTTTATTCTATTTTTTGATATTATTATTATTGTTCAGAAGTAAGTTGACCCCAGGTCAAGAACTTTATTATTTGTTCAAAGAGAATGAAGAAGTAGGTCGATAATTTGAAATTCTATAATTTTTGAGTTAATCCGGCACGGGGCAGCACGCACTGAACCTACACGCCGCGCTTCAAGCGTTCGATTATCGAATCGATCGGGGATGAACTGCCTCGTCATCGAACCTGGGCATTCGCTCCTGGCACGGCTTTGCGATTAGTCACATGTGGGTTTTCCGTCGCGATTCTAATTGTTCGTAGTTCGTTTGATTAATAAAAAAAATTTTCAGATTGATATTCTGCTGTGATTCAGTGATAAGTGAGATGTGAAATACGTTCACTTTGACATTCGCTAATTAACGGTAGCAACAAGGTGCGCCGTTATATACGCGACATAAAATTTGCGCTCAAAACATTGTTAACGAAGCGGATTCAGTGATTTGGGACCAGAATTCACGCAATGGTGAAATATCAAGGTGCCGAAGTCCGATTGTTTCCACGAACGTAATAATTGTATACATGAGGCTCGCGTGTATTCGCTTGGCACGCGTAGATCACGTGAGTTGGAGCGCGCAGATCACGTGATCAGTCATCTGGGACTGATACCTGATGTCGTGATTGTGTTTGCGTTCCTTTTTTTTCATCCTTCGAGCCCGTGGTGCTCAACGCACTGTAACATTTATGTGATCAGTGATTCTTCATGTTAATTGAAACATTTCGGTTCGCGATTTAATATCGCATTCGCCGCAATCGGCAACGTGTACGAAATCTAATGTGAGATTTCGAACGATTCGATACACGATTTGAGCGTGTTCATCGTAACTAGCATTGTTATGCAACAAATAGTTTTTCGGTGGTGTCCATGCAACACATGCTAGATACCATATAGTGAGACATTTCGGACTGCTTAACAACCACGTCGTACGTGTTTTCGCGGTGACTATTTTATTCGTTATAGATAAAGATTTTATGTAAAGGTTTCAAATTAATTTGCGTTTATGTACATTGTGACTCTCGGACAAATTTAGTTAATAAATGGATTGTTTTGTGTAATTTGTGCATATAATTCCGTATTCTGGTTCTCGATTCGGCACGTGGCTTAAATCGTTACCCATCCTGCGCACCAATCGGAGCGCGTCCACCCTCCTTAAGATACAGTCCACTTTGAATCTTCCTGTGCAATCTATACACGAGACGGATATCGACGATCGGATTTACAACCCGATTGTCAGGATCCGTAGCTTCGTGCGTGAGCGTTCAACGTCAGCAATCGAGCGTACGCGCAAACAATTATATTAACATTATTTTATCATTATCATCATTTTATCACCATCTTCTTTATTATATTTCATTATCTTAATCATTATTTTAATCAATAATTATATTTATATTAATCATGTTTATATTTAATCATATTTATATTTTATTATTTATATTTATTATTTTGTTATACAAAGAAATATTAAAAATGTTTTTGTGATTGCTTTCTTTGTCTGTGCACTTTATAAATAAAATGTCATAACTATACGTTAATAGCACGGACAAAAATCTATTCAATATACATATATTCTGAAATTACTATTTTATATATACATATATAATCTCAATGGAATCTTTAAAAAACTGGAATTTAGTAAGTAAAAAATAATCTTTACATTATTTTTGTTTTAATTTACAGTGCTTCAGTATTTTAAAGAAATTATCCGTCAGCAATCATACTTTAAGACCCAGTTATGGCAAATAGCAGATGATTTAAAAGATATGAAAAATGAATTGTTGCAACAAGTTCATCAACGGCCCAATGTAACTGAAAGAGAAGAGTCTATTTTTTCTTTTCCTCATCTTCCTTTTAATTCGGTGGAAGATTTAGAAGAGCACGTGGAACAATTTTTAAATCAACCGAATAAGTTCGAAATATCGGTAATAATAATTTATTAATTATTAATTTTTTTAATGAGTTTTATTGGATTTTTAAAATTAATAACTAATTGTTTAACTTTTAAAATGTTAATTATTTACAATAGATTTTTATAAATATTTTAAAAACAATTACAGTTAATCTAAAATTCTAAATCACAAAATAAAAATTAACTTAGTAAATAAGTTAAAATTAAAAATAAAAATTTATTAAATTAAATTAATATATAAATTTCAAAAAAAATAAAATAGATTCTTTCAATTCCTTTTAATTCTATATTATTTATTACATTTTAAATCTAATTTGTGGTTATTAGAGCGATATATTATTAAAATTTATAATATAAAATTATATAGTAATATTAATAACATGTAAATTATTAAATTAATTGTTAAACATATTGTTATATATTTGTAATTTTCAAAATAATGTTTTTTAAAAAATATTTATTGTAGGTTAAAGAAGTATCCAGAGTAGGGGGAAAAAATCCTTACGAATTTATTAAGCGCAATTGTACTCGTTTGTTGACCAACGAGCTGGCTGAAAAATATAGTTGGCTAGGAGCAAAACAGAAAAGGAAATTTTGTCATTTAAAACTCGCTGACTTGCTAATTGGTAAGTATGTCTATAAGTAGATAATGTTATTTGTTTAATTTATTAATGTTATCTTATTTAAATAATTAATCTTAATGAAATCACATAAATAAAAAAATAAATTATTGCTTACAAGATGCTGATTTTTTTATTACAGTTTCCGGTCAAGATAGTAATTCCGAATATAACAAGAAAGTTTTAGAAGAAGCAGTTCAGAAATGGCTGCGAAGAGCTAAAGAAAGATTAAATGGTGAAAAGAAGAAGCAAGATAAACAAAGAACTGAAGAAGACTCATCATAACTATAAGAAGACTAATAACAAGAAGATTAATAATATTAATAAATTTTTGATATATTTTATCATATATATTTATATGATACATATGCGTAATAATTAACATTGTAAGCGTTCAAAGTTTTTTAAGTTAGATTTATTTCAAGATAAAGTTAAGATTTATTTTATAATATGTACGTATGTGATACTAATGTTTCCGTAACAAAATGTTCAATTTAATTTCTAGTTTTTAAATAAGATTTTTAATATTTCCAGTCAATGAAAAATAATATTTCTATGATATATCTTATACATATAAATAATAAGCCATACATATGTTAGATTTCCATATTATATATTATCTTTTATAATTAATATATATTATAATTATTCTCAAATATACAAATTGTCGGATGTCAACGCTCGTGAGTAGATAAAACATTGTAGTAAACTAAACATAAAAATCTTATATCATTTTGCTTTTGCAAAATAATGTGATTAATTTGAATATGTAAGCCAATGGGCGCATGGAAAGCGATAGTTTGGAATCTGTAGGCATAACATAGACAATAAAATAAATCGACCCCTACTATCTTTTTAGCCGATCTATTCTATTGTATATGATACCTACCAATTCCAAACTTTCGCTTTTCATTCGCTCATTGGCTTAAATATTTTAATAATATAACAATTATTGCGAATTTAGCAAAATGATATAAAACTTTTCTGTTCAGTTTACTGTATTCTACTTGCTCGCGAGTATAATTGGCACAATCTTTACCCTGACATCTTGTATGTAATATTGATCATTTTTGTATATTATATTATATATTTTTTTACATGTATATGTATAAAAATAAATATATAATATATAATAATTATTATATATTATTATATATATTGACAAAACAATATTTTCGGTACCAAACTCAAAAGTCAATAAATGTTTATATTTGAATAAATCAATTGTTTTAGTATTTTATTAGATTCGCGAGTATGTATCCCAAAATTACGTCCGTAATATGTCCGAAATGAGACCGTTTTCGACCTATTTTGGATTTATTATGGATATCGTTAATACGTCCAAGATGATCCAAAATAAGTCCAAAATAGGTTCAACAACAGTCTTATTTCAGATATTTTATGGATGTCCGAAGTTGTGTCAAGCGTATGTGATATGGATGTCCATCAGACGTCCGACGAATCTTATTTGGACCAAAAATAGATGTCCGACGTCCAGAAAGTAGACGTTCAATGGACATCCATTGAATGTCCATGTGCTATCTGGGTTAGTAATATGGAATAGTATATTAAAATAATTACTTATTTGTACATTGCGTTTAACAGAGGGTTAACAAAAATTTAATCTTGACAATAGCTTTAAAATTGTTACAAATAGAAATTTTTATTATCACTTTAAAGAATTTATTTTCTTTTCAAAAATAATAAAAAAAATTGTATAAAAAAAATCAAATTTACTTAACGTACTAAGACATCCAAATATTTTTGTTTCAATTTAATATTTTTGATAAAAATACTACGCTTAATAGAATTCAGAATATATTATGAATTTTAATGCTTGTGATGAATTTGTGATATACTTGTGGATATAAAAACTTATGATATATTTGAAACAAGTAATATTTATTTGAATATTGTTCTCTGTATTATATTATGATTTTTGTATAATTGACTGTTTTCTAATATGCGTATATGTATATATTATTTTGCTTTCAAATATATGTATATATTATTTATTTTTATGAAAATTCACACAGTATGCATATCCAAAAGATGTTCAGAAAATCCCAAAGATATATGTGAGCCACATAAAATCTTTGAAAGGTCCTTTAAATGTCTTTTAAATACGCAATAAACATATAAGCAATCCAATTAAATCATGGCTGCGTCATGCCCCTGTGCGCTTTTCACGAGAACAAAAGTAAATTTTATTTAACATATGTTTAGATATAGTTTACTATATTTTTCTTTTAACCTACTTAACATGATAACGATTTATATTATTCTTTTATATATATATAAAATGACGTTTATTTAGCTTTTTTGCAGCAAATGCTTAATGAAATCAAGCGTAGTAAATTACGAAGTTCTGTTTTGCATAAAATTTTATGTTTTATTGCTGTAGAGCAATCTATTTAATTCTGCAAAACAACGATTTCGTAATTTACTACGCTTGATTTTATAAAGTATTTGTTGCAAAAAAGCTAAATAAAAAGACGTAATACTTTATATGTGTAAAAGCCGAATAATATGAAATATTACCATGTTAAGTAAGCTAGAAAAAAATTAGTTTTAGAGAAAATAATAATTTACATAATATAAGTATGCTGTCTTCTAAGCTGGGCAATAGAGCCAAGGAAACGAAACGAAAATAATTTACATATACAAAACGTTTTTCAGGAAAATAACACATGTTGCGAATGATTTGGAAATCGTGGCCGAGGATGAAATCAATGAAGTCGATAATGAAAACCAAGTTAATACTGTGGCTAATAACGCAGCTGATAAAAATATTAATGAGAAAATAGTTGATGAAAATCTTCTAAATAGTGATGAAAAAAATCTAAGGTAGTTAGATTTTATGCAATTACTATCATTTTTATGGACCATTAGATCCATAAAAAAGATAGTATTACATTATATAATATATATATATATATAATATTAATATATATTCTATTACAAATTGTTTCCTTATTTTGTGGTCTCTCTTTTGATTAATTTTTTTTTATAAAGTTGAGTAGTTTTTTTTATAAAGTTTCAAATTTTCATACGTGCAATAGCACAGCTTTATTTTAATAATTTTTAAGCAAAGGATGTCATGCCCATGTTTATAAGTTGCGTACATAAATTATGTTTATAAATTACGTAGAACTGATATGCAATATACGTAATGTGCAATAATATAATAAGTACTTATATATTTTTCAATAATATATTTATATTCTAACTAATTATCATTTTTATGGACCATCAAATCTATAAAAGAGATAGTATTACATTATAATAATATATGTTCTTATTACAAATTGTTTCCTTATTTTGTGGTCTCTTTTTGATTAGTTTTTTTTATAAAGTTGAGTAGTTTTTTTTTATAAAGTTTCAAATTTGTATACGTGCAATAGCACAGCTTTATTTTAATAATTTTTAAGCAAAGAAGAATTTCATGCCCATGTTTATAAATTACGTACATAAATTACGTTTATAAATTACGTAGAACTGATATGTATGTACAATATACGTAATATACGTAATATACAATAATATAATATGTACTTATGTATTTTTCAATAATATATTCATATTCTAACTATAATTATCATACAATATTACTTTTTTAGGAAGCCCTTACCTGTCTATTTTTTAATTTTATTATTTTAACTGGAAATCTTATTTGTATGCAAACGCAACTTTCTTTGTGCACTATCTGTATATCTCCTTAATAGTACGCTGTTCATTTTGAATAGTAAGATATCCAATATTGAGCACACATACAGTGGAGACAACGTACAGTTGATGCACACGGAAAGTTGAAATCGTTTATATAGGTGATGTGAATACTTGTGACAATTTGCAGGTGAAGAGTGTATATGTTACCGGCCAAACCCTGATTTTAGGATAAACTAATTTTTCCTGTTTAGCCTAAGAAAAACTAATTTGTATATAAGAATGATATTTAGATAGGAGTGCACGGGGGGACGGGGCTTTGTAAAACGCCATCGCTCTGTGCATTCTCACATAAAAAAAAACAACTTGAAAGCGAGGAAACTATCAAGGTTAATAGTACTGCATAGAAGTTGAACTGGTTAATTTTAACGCATTTTGTATAGACTAGTTCAGCCTAGGAAAAATTAGTTTATTCTGAAATCGGGTTTCGTCGGTAACATACATGGAAAGTCTTCCGCGTTTCTTCGATAATGTGTCTATTGACGTTTTCA